ATATAAATATATGAATATGTATATATATATATATACATATATAATATCACACAAAGTGCGACATATACCTTAAATTGTACGGAGTTGTACTCTAGAACAGCTCTAATTTTAAAAGTCCAAGTATCAGAAAAATAGCACACTGCGAGGCTTCTATTCAGGGTGTCCTCATACCTCGTGAATGGGCTTCAAGTCCAGGGTGACTTGCGACGCCGTATACCTTGCCTTAGCGTCCGGGCCGGCTTTCTGCAGCTCCGCAGGATCGGCACACACATCAACCTCCGATATCACCGGCCTCAGTGCATTCGCATTCATGTTCTTATTCGGCTTGCTCTTGCTGTCCATGTCCAAACCAGCAGTACTCGACCCCGATACCTTACTCTCGCCCGGTGCTGGGGTTTCGACTATACTCAGTCCAGTGGCCGGGAAGCCACCCCCAGAGACTGGCTCGGTCTTGGGTGTAGTTGCCGCAGAGCTCTTTTTCTTGGACGCCCCCACCTTACTTGCACTGCCAGTCCTGGAGATCCTACCCGATGCCGTAGTCTTTATCTCGCCCGGACGTTTATACGACGCACTTGAGTTCCTGCCATTGGCTTTGCCCTCCGCTGTATTCGGTCTGGCCCCAGCACCAGTGGTACTACTGGTTGCAGTATTCTTGTCCCCTTCTTCCTTAAAATCGCCGAGCTTCTGTCGCTTGGTTTTGCGAGCGTTGGACATCTTGCGCTTGATCTTACCCCCGGCGCCTACGCCCTCGTCTTCGTCTCCTTTCCCCTCCGTTGTGCTGTTGTTCGTGTTGCTGCGTTTGAGCGTCGCTGCGCTCGTACTGCCACCCGCACTTGCACTCATGCCTGTGTTCGTGCTATGCAGAGCTGAGCCTGACTGTGTCTTGGAGTTGGCACCAGCTCCAGAGGCGAGGTTGGCCGTGTTACTGTTATTGTTGTTAGTATTACTATTACTACTGGCCATGGGTGTACCCACCCGTGTGTGCGGTCCCGCTCCGGGAGTGCCCACATTCGGGGCGGTGGCAGGTGTATTTGTGACTGAGTTCGGATTGAGTGCATTGGGAGTGCCAAAGGGCAAATGCGACGGAGACATGGCTGACATTCCTTCGAAGCTCATTTGACGGGCGTTCATTCCTGCTACTGCCCCCAATCCTGCCTTTTGGGCCATCATCTGTGGTGGTGGGGTACCAAGGCGTGACGACAAACTCGATCAGAATGTGGACCAATACGTCTCTAATATTCTCAGGCAAAGCAATGTTCAGAAAATACTAGGCTACAGATCAACAACACAACCGACATACGCGCACACGCGTACACATACCATTTGTTGTTGTTTCAACTGCTGCTCCTCTCTCGTGGCCTTCTCCAGGCTCTGTTCCAGCAGCGGTAGTATCTGAGGTTTTATGGTCAATCGATCCACTAGAGCCTTCTCCTCGTCAGATAGCTGGAGTCCTATTTGGTGCTTCCGTATAGCCTCCTTGAAAAAGTTCAAAAGTCGCCTCTGATCTTCGGCTGAGGGTGGTCGCTGTTCGTTGCCGCCCATACCGTTAGCCTGTTGGCCTGGATTAGGCTGACCTGCGCCGCTTAGATTTTGGTCCATGCCTGAGGGTGAGGCGATCATGCCCATCATACTCTGGCCGCGCAGCATAGCCCCTGACAATGACAACAAGGATGAATAAGTTAGCATCTTATACATCGTTAAAACAAACGTACATACATACATACATACATACATACATACATATATATATATATATATATATGTATGTGTATAATATATATAGA